GCAACTCCGGAATTCCGCTCCAGAGAGCAGAAGCTCAAACAACTCACAAGGATGGTCCAAACCCCAACCCTGAAATCCACGAAACCCTGGTAAACCTGGTTGTAAACTTAGCACTCAACGCTCGCCAAGATGCTAAGGTCTCCTGCGGCAAGTTTTCTGTATCCAGCAGCAGCTCCACCTGCAACCGAACAACCGGGCGCAGCATGGCGCAGCATATGCGATTTGTCAAATTACTTGACCATGTCACGTGCCAGGTTTGAGTGCGAAGGCGAAGGCCTCAAACTATCTGCGCACGCAAAGAGATGGGCCGGCAGCAACGCAGACAGACCCTGTGACCACCGGACACACATCAAGAGAAACAGGGACAGAACGGAGACCCCATTGACTTTCACGTACAGCTTCCTTGCCAGGGACCCGCGTCATGGGACACGTACGGAAAGGGGTCCTCACGCTGTTCTTGTCGGGATGTAGCTAGGTTGGCTTCCCATGAGGGGACTTTCATGGCATCAGGCAGACCTCATTATGACAAATGATCCAACAGCTACGCAGCCTTGTGCACACCCTAAGGGTGGTGACTGGTACCTACAATCCCGAGGTCGAATCTGCTTGCCCATGCTTGCCCTCCAGTATGCTTCAAACCGAGGAGCATGAAAATCCAAAACAATACATAACATCGTCACAGATACCGGCGCGGCTTCTGGCAGCCGTTCTCCGCAAGTCGCTCTAAGATGAAGATGTGCCAAGTTCTTGCGTCATGTTTCTTCCAATCTACTTCTGTAAGCTCCCTGCCTTCGTATCTGCCCATCTGTCTAAGTCCATGTATCCATCTGTCCATCGATCTATCTACATCTAACTAATCAATGGATCCACGACAGTATGGTAAGTTTCTTGGGACGCCATTCGGAAATCCCTCAATGTGATCTAGACTAATCTGGTCTGCATCCATGGGATATTGGGCGATTTCGTGCAACATGAACACTTTTTGCGTGCCATCTCTTGCGAGTTCGTGCGTGCAAAGTTTCAGCCCACATGAATGAGACCACATAAAACGCTGACTGATCCATACGGACTGTGTGCCCATTCCTTAGAATCGCCCTCCTCCCCCTGTTTGGCAGCCTTCTTTATTGGCAGGGATCGGTATCGGCACCGTTTAAGCAGGTCGACGTCGCCTTCGCCTGGCCGCACAGCAAACAGAGTACCGGTAATTGCCTGATGAAGTCATCCAAAACATGTAATGATCATGATGCGGCTAGGACTACACTTTGTGCAGGTCTCTGTAGCTGTCCAAGAGCAGCCACCCTTGGAAATTTTGCAAAGATGGACAGGAGGCCAAGAACACCATAATCGGGCTTTGGAGCCTGTCTTGCGCGGGTAGGTGATGTCCCCCGACGGGGTAAGGTCGGCGCTCGCAACGCGTGGATCTAGGAGCCGACAGCGCTCATTGTCTCCTTGGCAGACATTTTGGTAATTAGCCACGGGTTGCTGCAATACGATTTAAAAGTACTAACACTGGACCAGGGAGAGGAGCGCAAAGCAGCTTGTGTATTCTAACACGCGATCAATCGTCGAACACTGACTGCCTGCTCCAGAGGAGGACTGGAGGCGATGAGTTGGCGGCTCGAGAGTAGGAGCAGGCTGCTTTACCTGTACTTACTGAATGAGGATACATGTTCTAAGAGGTGTTTCGATTGACCGGGCATGAAGAGTCTTGGACCTCTGATCCAGCAAACTGTGAAGGGGCAAAGGCCACGACACACAGTTCACAATCACCGCTCATACAAAAGATACTGCGCAACACCACATAACGAAAGCTGTACGAAAGAGGACGAGTATGAGTAATGGGCTGCCGGTTACCGTGATACAGCTTTGGAATCATAAAAGATAGGCTGAAGGGCTCCGCGGAAAGATGAAGAAATCCGGAAGGTAACATCGCGGGGCCTGCAGGCTGGCAGCATCTGGCAGCATGGCTTCAGACTTCTGAGGTGAGCAAAGCAGCGAAAACCCCAGAATGTAATTGAAATTCAGACTCATGCCCTGAAGCTCCGACCAGACACAACAAAGAACCAGAAGTTAAGTGCAGTGCTGAGGCATTCCGCTCTGAACAAACTATCACAGTGAAATTGGTGTCAAAGGTTGCCCCTAAATGTACAGCTCATGGCAGTGAAAGCATGGCACAGCATGCTCAATTGCGGTACATCAAGCCCACCTTTTCCGAGTCGACCCGGGATGCACCGACGGACGGCACACACATCACTTTGGCAGTAGCTGCTCCCAGACTGAGACCCCACGCCCTTTACTCTCAAAGGCTCAGGGGATTCGGTGCTCACAGCATGGGTGGATGAGTTCGGGTGGTGGCTTTGGGTGTAAGGTAGGGGCGGGGGGCTCCCAAACCTGCAAACAGGGTGACTTTTGTGAAGTGGCTTTCTGCTCTCTTTAGCCCAAGGCCGCGGTAATATGCGAGGCAATGACGCGAGCTTGCTTGTGGGGCGTGTGACCTCCAAGTGGCTGCTGATCCGACTTCCAAATCTCAGATATCCTTTGTGAAAGGTTCACGAGATTCCTTAGGGAGACTAGGATCTTCTTGACCGGATTTTAGCTGTGTCCGAACAGGAGGGTACAAAGAAGTGTACTTCAGTGGTCCTCAAATTGCAACCCTTGCGTTCGAGGCAATTACTGAAAACCTGACTTGCAAGTCCTGAAGGACCTTTTCGCGACTGCATGGGCAGCACGTGTTCCGCCTTGCCGGAGGAACCACATCCGGAATTGTCATGCGGGCGTCTTGAACGGGGTGGGCCCACACGACCGAGGTAAGCTCTACGGCTTTTAAACTCGTGAACTAGCTAGATGCCCAATGCAACGTGGCGGTGCAATTTGCAGACGAGGAGGACTGCCAAACCGTTCAACTTGGTCAAATGATGGCCCATTCCTAGCACACTACAAGAGCCAGGTATGAATCGCCTGTTTAAAGTCTAAAGAATCTAAAGACTGCAATTGTGTTTTGGCATTCCCTCGCTAAAGCCCCAAGGGGCGAATTAGGCTGTGCGGCTGTTGGTCACCACGGATGTCACAGTTGGACGGAAAGCTAAGAAGAAAATCCGTGTTTGAGGATCCGCACTAAGACACCACGAACGACTGCAGTTTCAGATCCCTTTCATCTCATGTGACAGGGCCAGCCAATTGGGGTTGCACTTCAGCACTTGTTGGCCAGGGTCGGACATTTCTTGTGAATATGGATGCCCCAACGCAAAATGCCTGCGGACTTCGTTGTCATGCTTCTCGACCTGACAATCAAAGCTGTCCTTTCAGTGAATTTGCTCAGTTGACGCCCACTGCGCCCTCCCTGCACGGATCCTTAGCGACACGCAGCATCGAGGTATGAATCACCTCAAGTACTTCTCTGCAGCACCGTCTGACAAACAGGTTTGGAATAAGCAGAGTAAGCGCGGAGTGTGCTAAGAAATGCGGAGGTATGTTTGGAAAGGAGCTAAACAGCTCAAAGTGGCTGGCTGGGCCCAACGGGGTCATGTCAGGCTTGAAGCACAGCAGAATTTGAACATCAGACAGATGACGTTAAGCTGCAAGACTGTAGAGCCTGGAGCCAAAGCAAAGGATACCCAACCCAAACTCTGTGCAGAAAAAGCAGAGACCAAGCTTCAGCATTCCCGATCCCACATGATTTGCGGTCGCCTGGATCTCCGTGGGCTCCATCTTGCGGCCGTGACCAGGGCTTGGCCTGCAGAGTGTTCTGCTGCAGCTTCCAGGTGGCAATTCAGTCTCTGATTCAGTCTCTGCTTCAGGATCCTGAGATATCCTTCTTAGATTTGACGGGCGTTTGCTGCCAACATTGATGTGGGCCAAGTTTGGGGTCAGCATCCAGGCCTATTCGAAGCAGCAAACCATGCGAGTGTAGAGTGAAATCCAATGGAGCTTGTCGCAATGCGCACGCGACTGTTTGATCCGCTGACGATTTCCTGCATATCTGTTCGCAGAAGCCATGCGGTGCAACAAAGATTTACTTTTCCTTCTGTCAAAGCTAGATTGGATGACTAGAATCTGTAAGCAGGCGCAATAAGAATCTACAATGACGAGGACTTACGAGTAACTTAGCTCAAAATTTCACAAAATGAGTTCTGTCCACAGCCAAATCCTCAAGTTATCATCCAACAGAAAGCCGAACATGCCATGCCTTGGAGAAGCAGTGCGTGTCCGCGTGCTCCCCTGATAAGCTGGAGGCAAAGGCTGAGCAACAAATTACGAGTGATGAGAGTCGTTATTTGACTATGAAAGCTCAGTGGACGACTGGCACACTCGCGACACTCGCGTCCGGCGCCTGAGGAATGCTTTGGGGCCAAAGTTTTCCAATAGCGCATGCTGCAAAATCTTGCATCCTACGTGCAGTCCAGAAGTACCCGCCTCGCCGGCGCCAACGAAGCGGCGCGCTGCCGCCTTGGCCAGCTCGAGGGCCATGAGGTCCTCAGAAACTGCGCGGACAAAGCTCATCTCTCCCGAAGAAGGCTGCAAAAGACTTGGGCGCTTCGGCAAAGCAACACCTTTCCTGCTTCCTCGGCTATCTGGCTGGGTGGGTACCGACTGGTCGTCAGATTAAACGTTCACCCTGTCTTCAGGCCAGTTCAGGGTAGTGTGATTCAGTGGCTTTGAGACGGGCTGAGGCTGAGGTTGGCTTAAGCTTTGGGCACAGGATTTGCGCTGACAGGCCTCGATGCTGCGTTGTATCTAGGATTGGAATGATAGACTGCGGTGATCACGCAACGCGTACAACATCCCATGGTTAAATTGTAGCAGAGAGCTCTGCAGCGTAGCCAGGCGTGGCACATGTCAGTAAAACCTTTCAGTCAAAACAGCCCTGGCTCGGATTGCATACTGAACAGCCCTGGAAACCTTTTACAGCTACTCAGCTCCTTCCAACCCACTTCCAGATGCTGCTCTCCGTGTTGGACTTCACACAACTTCTGTCCTGGAATTGCGCCATTTTCTGGCAGCTAGAAGCACTCCTCTACATAGCCAGGAGCCAGTGCGGATACTCTTTGGCAACCTTCAAGCTGGCCCTGAAATGCCTCCATCAAGAAGTCGGGCACGGACCTCTCGCGTGCAAAATGTGAAACGGTCCAACCGTGCCAGTTGCGCAGGTCTAGCCGCGCGCCCGCCGCAACAAGCGCAGCAGCTCCTTCGTACTGTCCGGACCTGAGTTTTCGCGGATCCAAAATAACCCGAACTAACCCTGCACTCTGACAGGACCTGCGAACCAGTGACATCACTGCCGCCATCAAGGGCGTCTGGCCAGGTAGATGATACGCCCAGCTGGTCATAGCTGTGCCTGTGCCAAGCCGGTGCCGAAGGCCCATTACTGCCACCACCAGGCCGTGCCAGGTGGTCCAGTTAACAGAGAAGGCTGCATTGACGTCGGCCCTCAGCTCCTTGGAGATTTTGGACCCGCAAGCTCGACCACAGGCTCCGATCGGAAGAAATCAAGCTTAGAAGCCAGAAAGCAACGAAGACACACCTTCAAGAGTCTTGGCCATTTCATAAACCGCACAAGCATATGTATCGCCGCGGAGATTATTGATTAAAGGCTGTTCGGAAGCACTATTTGGAAGGACCAGGAGCCAAAAGGCGTTGCACTTGCGCTGCGCTCCCCCCACGCAAGGCAGCTGATGAAAAGAGGGCGCGGGACATGTCCCTGCCCAGAATGCGCAGTTGTCAACAACAACGGCCGTTGCGACTTTGCGGAGGAACAGTTACATCGATTCACTCAAACATGACGACTTTCCAGCTTCTTTAGGGACATGATTTAGGCTCCAAGATCAAATCAGATACAAGTTCGGCAATTTGTTTTTTGGTCATTGAAATAAAGAATCAGAAAGCATGCCATGTAATCACCCAGGCTCATGCGGGCAAGTGCCTAGGGTTTCCATGCTGTTCGCATCGAGAGGGCAGGAAACCCTGCAGTCTTGATTCCCACTTCAAGATGATTCTGCCTTCACTCACAACCCCACCCCGCACCCTCCAACCTCCCCCCCGCACCACCGTAAAAACCACCACCACAACCACGAACACTGGCGCCGCAGCCACCACCACCGTCGCCGCTGCCGCCACCACCGCCAGCACTGCCATGACCATGGTGGGTCTTCTGATCCCGGTTGTTTCATCCTACTCCCAGCATCCTAGCACTGCCGTTGGAATTCAGACAAGAGTCTGGGCCAGCAGAGGCAACCAGCTCCTTTGCAGTCAAACACAAGAAGCTCTTGCTGCTAAGCTGAACAGGAGTAGACCTGCAAGTGAGTGAGTGTACCAGGCGCGGGGATTGGAACTGGTGCTTGGGATCTTCTAGAGAAGGCCGCAGCAGGGTGCATTTTGCGGCCGCCACATGGAATTGGGGGGGGTGCTAAGCGAAACCCAACGGAATGCAGATTGATGCACGCGCGCGGCTGAGGTTCCACAAAAATTATCTGGGCGATAGGGCGCCCAGCTGGGTTCGTGCCAGGCAAGCGTGACCAACACATCCATGAAACTTCAGGCAGAGAATACAGGACAAGCTTCCAGCAAAGTTCACCCTGCAGAATTTCTATCATGATGCTGGCTGAATTGCTGCTGCGCGCCTCGAGAGCTTCGAGCGAACCGAAGCCCGCGGCAACATCCAGCGGAGACAGGTGGAAAAAGCTCCTCTGGGGAGAGTTGGCTTGTGGAATCTTAAGGCATTCAAGGTACAGTATTACAAGTATTGAGTGAATCAGACCACGGGAGGCGAGAATTGGGCAGACTGGTCAAGCATTGTCAATGTGTTGAAGCCCAGGTTCGTTCTTGTGAGATCATAGCCGGCGTTGCTGAGCATGCGGATGCCTTCCGGATTGTTTGACATTGCTGCGGCAGCCGCGTCTGTGTACCTGGGCTATGTCAGGATACGCTGCGCTACAAGTAGCAGATGCAGGACACTTGTTGCGCGCATGGGCCTCCCGATCTGTTGCTAGGCGTCAACCTTTTCCAGCTACAGGGCATACAGTGGCTAGGTAGAAAAAGTATTGAAATGGTGTCCTAGCAATGTCCGGCAACCTGGCGCAAAATTCAAAACAGAGCAACAGATCGGCTTGTGCGACAGCCAGTAACCCCTTCACGAAGGCGCTTCGATCCCAGACTTCTCCCTTCTTTTAATTCAGCAACACAAGCGCTCGTCCTAAGAACAGCCAACAGTCGGTCCAGCCAGCAATATCAGCATGCATAAGCTGTTCACTAGCTACCAAAATCCCAGAGCCCGCCTCCTGGTGAAGTTGGCCTTTGCACCGACAAGCAAGCGGGCCACATCATTATTCCGAAAGGCCAAAGCCAAATTCCTGAATGGATGCCATCCACGCACGTAACAAAACTTTGCTAATGGCAACCGAGAAGAGGACAGTAGCAATCAGTCTCCCCAAAGCATCCGACACAATCAGAGGTTCAGCGCTGATGACCCAGCTGGCTGACCCAGGAGTGGCTGGTCCTGCGGTGATCACCAGTGTCCCGTTAAATCCGACAAATTGCATTTTCGGGCGAATTGCTTCAAGTGCAAATCGGTCCTTCTTGGTGCCAGCATTGATGTTTGCTCTGGCCTCCAGGAGACCCAGAAGCAGTGACGTGTTGCCTCGCAGTGCCGCGTAGTGCAAAGGCTTCCATCCAGCGGCGTCAGCCTCTTTGGGCGAGAAGAACCGCATGGGTGCCCAACACTTTCATTTTTTGGTCAAATTAACAAGTCCCAGAATGCTATGAAATTGCCAGGCTTTCAGGGTGCCTGACAAATCATTTTTGAACTGGAAATCTGCACATCAAATACCCCTGGATAATGGTTTGAGTTTGGAGCTGGGACAACTCATGTGCAATTAGCTTCTACGTCTGAATCAGGAATCTTCTGTGGTCCTGCGCGCCAGACACTTAAGCATTCATTTCGTGAGTATTGAGTCATTGCTGCCTACCCTTACAACCTGACTCTCAGACCCGCAAGGGAACAATAGAAAAACCATGTTGTCCACCCGTCTTCCCACAAGCGATTTGGCTGTTGAAACCTCCAAGCCAAGGCAAGATGAGTTCCATTCCAACGCAGACGCTTAAGTCTCGAGTTTCTTTCATTGAGGTTGATTGAGAACAGACAATACCATCGATCGTTGCTTCCTGATCTATCCCAGACAAGCTGGTTCCCAAACCCTGACGGGACACTATCACAACACCCACCAGAAATGTTCTTCGAAATCTCCAGAAGCCTTGCATGACTATTCCGCAGAGCAATGTCTTTTGCTTCTTGAATCACAACTCAACTTCATCTGTCTCCATTCCATCTGAAACAGCACCAGAATTATCTTGGTGGGAGGGTGCCCACTGCAGAGCTGAGCCTCGTCAACGGCTACAAATCCATTCTGGAAGAGGAACTGTCCCACAGGCTGGGAATCCAGCCCCGGCTCACCTTTGAAGCCAGGAACCAGCTCATGCACAGTCTTGACCTGTGCTTCTGATTAAGTTTCTCAAGTTTCAGAAAGAAAGCATCGATTTCCAATGCAGCCTCGATGCAGGAAGGCCCCTGAGGTGGCTTTCTTGCATGTTCAGCAACACCCGGTAGCCCACGAGATCCTGTGCCTTCAGCAAGAATCTCAGCTTGCGCAGTAGTGCGCCCTGCAGCACTGGCGCCAGTTTGAGTCGATCATCAGCTACGGTGAAATCGCCTTCACCTGCTGATCCTCCCAAAGAAGACAGCGGAGATGAGATCATCTCTAAGTCGGTATGGGTTCTGATCATGATCCAGGATTGATCTGCAGACAGCTCTCGGCAGAGTCTCTCGACTCTACCTCGATGCCCAAGTAAGTTCCCAGGGAAGCCAGTTCTGGAACCTTTACGGAACCAATTTTCCTACGGGGCAGCTGAATTGAAACCTGAAAAGCTTCTACCCAACATCCCAGCTACACCATCCGCGATTGGCCCAAGTCCTGGGCGAGAACACCTTGCAAAGACTTTGACTCTCTATGACCGGGCACAGGACGAAGAAGAACTTGCATCGGGCCACGTAAGCAGGGATGCTGTCAATTGCTTGCAGCAAATTGCTCTTTGTTTGGCTCGTCTGGTAACGAAGGCCAACTTGATTCTCCAGCTGTGGGCATGAAAAGCCTGTAGTGTCTTCACGGGTGTCCCAACACTTTCCCTCAAATGTCTTGGTCCCCCTACACATTAAGGCTTGTTTTTTTTAGTGTTTTATTGGCTTTTTAGGGTTTAGGAGCTTTTAGGGTTTAGTGTGGTTTAGGGCTTGGGATTCTTTAGGGTTTAGGTGGTTTTAGGGTTTAGTGGTTTTGTAGCTTAAGGGTTGTTTGAATGTTGATGGGCTTTGTAGGGTTTATGCTTGTTTTAGTGGTTATTGAGCTTTTTAGGGTTTAGGGTGTTTTAGGGCTTAGGTCTTTTGGGATTTAGGTGGCTTTAAGGTTTAGGGTTGTTGAGGGCTCAAGGTTTTTTAGGGTTTAGAGGTTCTCAAGGCTTAGGAGTTTTGGAAAATTTTGGTGTTTAGTGTGTTTTTTTCCGTTTCGGCCTTTGAGAACTCAGTGGTGTTTAAGGTCTAAGGCTAAGGGCTTGTAAGGATGTGTTTTTTAAGGTTTGGACTTTTTAGGCTTTAGGGTATGCAGGGTTTTGGGCTTGTTGAGGCTTAGGGGTTTTGGGGCTTAGAGCGTTTGAGGGTTTGGTTTTTTTAGGGTTTAGTGGATTTTGAGGCTTAGGGTTTTTAGGGTTTAGGCTCCGGACATAATGAAAATGATGGACTCCGCACCTTGGGTTCCAGGGGTTACTAGCTTTAGGTCTAGAACCTGAAATTCAATGCTTCCGCGGATGTTGTCGGGATTAGAAAACACTGGCAGGGATTTGTGAACTGAGTTGTGGGCAAACCAAAACTTTTGGCCAAAAACTTTGCCCTTTACAAGGTCAGATCTCACACAACCCGAATCTCCAATAAGCCTGGAACGGACGAGGAGCAGTCATACCAAATGAAGAGAGGCGCAGAACGCAGCTTCCAGGTGGGCCAGCTTTTAGTGCTGGGCACATGAGCTTCTGTGAAAACATCCGGCGGTATGCAACTAAGGTCCGACATGACATGCCTCAAGGCCTCCTGCAGGACCCGAAACTGCTTGAAATCTGGATCTGGATGGCCATTGCCCACCCATTGATGTGACACAAATGCAGCATTCCCGAGGTCTTGGCTGAACTCAACAAGGATGTCTTTGGCCTTTAGGTGCTCGTGCGGCTCAATTTCCACCATTTGCAGAACTGCCTCTAAGCGCACCGTGTACATGGGGAAGAGCATCGGTGCAGCCTCAATCTCCGTAGAGCCTGCGCATGGAAATGGCGCTTGGGCAGCCCAATTCCACTACCAGAAGATCCCTTGACCCACATTATGACCTTGTTACTGACATGGGCGCTGTCCGCCACATGAAGGTGTTCCCATCCGCCTCCTGTTTCGTCGCGCAAAGATTTTGCGTAGCAGGCCAAAGCCGTCTCGGCGGTACCGCCAAAGCAGGGCATGGCATGGCAAAGCTCGCTTGCAAAACAGGCGGGAGAGGAGGGAAGATTAGCGGGTAAGCTTTGCAAGAAATGTTGAGAATTGGTTTCTCCTCGTGCCAATCTCATACTGAGTACATAGTTGTGCTTACTTCAAGCCTCCTTTCTCCCAAACTGTTCTAGACATCAAAAGAAACACCACTGCAGCAGTGACAAAACTCAACATCAACTGAAAGATACCACCCTGCCTCAAATTTCCGATGGTACACAAAGGCTTCACGAAAACCAAAGCGCTAGGTTCCATTGATCCCTTTTATCAAAGAGCGAAAGACCAACTCGCTTGTACAAGTATAGGGGTCGTGTTGAGAGCTTGCCTGTAGTCCTCAGCAAACAAGGGTTGAAACAGCACCGATTCGACCCGGACTCAACAGAGCGATGTCCTCCATGCTTTCACGATCAGAAGCCTGGCACAAAACTTTCAAACATGGGCCCATAGCCAGGTGTCACGCAGCAACAGTCTCGATGCTGACTTGCCATGCTTCCACTTGCAATTCCAGCAGGGAGAAGTTTGCTTCTCTTTCTTAGACTACTCCCAGCATGGTTGCCAAGAATTAGGAGCTATAGTTTCAAGCTGCTGCACTATATTGCTATTGATGGGGTACCTCTTTGAGTTCAAGATCTTCAAGTCACGACAAGTGATCATTCGCTCAAAGCTTTCCAGCAAGATTTGATTCAACTTCTTGTGGACACATGAGCGGCCAGTAGGTTGCAGATTTGGATGCAGAGGGCTGCCTTATCTTGAATGACATGTAATTAATACGCTTTAGACCCACTTTAGACTCATGAGCCCCGACTGCGCTTCTTGCTGCACACGCATCGCGTTGTTCTTCACCTGCCTGGTAGCCGTTCAAAGCTATATCTTCCGATCTATGTTCAGCACCTGTTTTTTGACCCTGCTTTGGCAAAATGTCACCTGCAATCATTGTTGTTCCAAGGTTGAGTCGGCTCCAGAACATTACCCACAGCTTCTGCCCGCGCGTGCCCCTCGAAAGAAAATCAGCCATCTGCTCCGACCAAATGCGGGCCTCGGAGCCCTGGCCTTTGAAGGCCTCACGCAGACGCTTGGAAAGCCCCCCGCCTGGCCAGGAAAGGGTTTGCTGAAGGTCACGCTTTGCCTGAAATCGGCTTCCTACCTCATGGTGCTGCCATTGTCATCCTACTGCGTCCCGCACCACTCTTGGCAGATATGAAATGAGCATGTCGGCAGTAGCCTCTCCTTTCCCAAACCGACACTTCTGTCAAACCCTCCAGCAGGAAACAGGCCCAAGGCACGTATGCGCAGGGCAGACCTGTTCCACTAGCGTTGGAATGCCCTTTTGGTCACTTAATCTTGTTCAGTGGTGGCTTTGCTTCCTGCTTGTTTCAGTTTGCAAGCTCTGCAGGAGATCGCAAATTCTGATACGTCACAAAGGCTTGTGGTGGATTATCTGGGCCACAAAAAAGGTTGAGTACAGTAGCGACCTGTGCTCCCTGCATACCTCCTTTTTCTTTACTCTCAAAAGCTCCCTTAGCCATGGAAAGCCAGTGGGACCTGCAAAGCAGGTGGCCTTGTGCGGGTGAAACACATCATGAAGGAAACATGTTGTTAAATCTGAAACACTAGAGTCACTAGATAGCTTTGCGTGTAGCCAGACCGTCCTCATGGAACCCTTCGCAGTAAAATCAGTAAAAGTTCTTGCGCAGCTGCTTGATGCTTCAGAGAGACTGTTGGACGGTTGTCCTTCCTGACCATTCTCCCGGGCGCTCGGGAATCAAAATCTCAACGAATCCTCATACTACGCAATTGCAAACACTTGAACTAAATAAGCTTCAGCTGGAAATCGAAGTCATGAAATACAAGCTCTGGCCTGCTCAGCTGGGCATCTAAAGCGGTGCGGTGCCGGCGCAGAACCGGGGCCACCAGCCAGCTGTAAAGAACCTCTGCAAGGAGATCTTGATCTATTTCGCAGCGCTGGTTTTCGACGAATGCATATGGCAAAGCCTCCTGCAGAGAAGCTAGAAGCAATGGTATGGAAGCTTTCAAAATCGATCAAGGGCTGTCGAAGCTCTGACCCTACTCCGCAGGCACAAGTCGCCTACGAACCGAAACTGCTGCCATCTGAAATTTTCACGCTTTGGCATTCGAAAAAATCAGGGTTGAACTTTAGCCTCGCTGCGGCGTTTGCTTTCTAATGAGACTGACACAGATGTTGCAGGCCGCTTCGGCTGAAGCCACCTGCGCACCACCAGTCACCGGCAGGAAGAGCCAGATAATGATGGTGAGCCTCATTGGCTGGATTTCGCTGGCACTTGGATTCCTCCATTACTCCTACTCACGTGTGTAAGCCGAGTGTAGGCATATCAAAAACACCAAGGCCATCCCTCCCGAGAAATCCCAAGCGCTGGCAGTTCACATTCAACAACAAGTGCAGACATTACAAAGAGCTCAGTCTCGTTTGCAACTTGTAGGCTTCACCGAGTGCTTTTGATGCACTGCAAATGCACTGATTTTCCCGTCGATGCACAACTCTTACATCCTGATCTCTGCCAGTCGGGCACAGCAGCGGGTGCCTCAGCACATAGTAGAATGGCAGCCACGCCAGGAATCGACACCATACACCTGCTCACCAAGCCGATAAGTCTGGGCGTGTTAGCCATTTCCAGCTCCCACCACGGCTCAACATGTCGTTGCTGAGGATGCTGCGCATTTCGCAGTCAACTTGTGCAATGCAAAAGTGGCAAAGCCTTGTTAGACATGCGGTTGGCATCTCAAATGATGGACGGTAAACGCAAACAAAATGTTGAAATAGCTGTCTCAAGGTCTTCCTCCCTGTAAGAGGCCTGCTTATGGGGGATTTCAGACAAGCCTTCGAAACTCCCCGTGACGGTCCCAAGGTCTCAGAAGGCTATTCAACATGCTTGCAAGACCTTGATAGCACAAAACACTAGAGATAAACCCGGGTGGCAGGATCGGAACACCTCTACGGCGCTAAAATGAGAGGCCAGAAGTTCGAAGGAGCAAACTACCCAGCAAACTACCCAGCAAACTACCCATCCCCGAACCCTGACCTTGCCTTCAAGGAGAGTCAAGGCAGCGAATGACACCCAATACATGAGCCAGGAGGACACCTCTGGAGTCAGGTACTGGGGGAGGTATGCGTCAGGTGGCAGAAGTTGCGATTGCTCATCATCTGCGGCAGGCATGAGATGTGCAGTATACACTTGTGAGTCTCAGAGAATATCCTTGGAAAAGGTTAGCGCTAAACCCCTGATATGTCGCTTTCGGAAGTGGCCTCCCATGGAAGTTTCTCATCCCCATCCACAGCAAGTTTTCACTCCGGCCATGTTGGATTTTTGTGGTCCTGTGCTCACAAGGTCGGTCCCAGCTTCGCAGTAAAGCACTCTGGTTGACCAAGAATACCAGCCCTGAAAGAAATAAAAATCTATAACACAAGGCATAAGAGTCCCCCCTACACTTTCTTAGACGAGGGTTGCCACAGTAAACCTCATCAGGGACCACGGAACCAGAATTAAACTAATCCCACACAGTTGGCTTTTCTTGGAGATGTTCCCCTTGGCGAAACAACGCTGAGGCAACAACTTGATGGTGATCACCATCCTCGAGAGCCTCCAAAACCAAAGCTCCATGTTTAGCATTTCATTCATTCAATAGGGCAGCCGAGCTCGACTGAATCGACGAAAATCACACACCCATGGATCAGTCAGAGGCGATGCAATAAGATCTCCGTGCATGCTGCTGATGACTGTGGCCCTGGCCCGAAAGGAAGCGTACATGGGATACAAGTTTCCGACAACCTCTGGCTGCCGCTTCCAGATCTCATGAAGCTTAGGACTCATTTGTTCGGCAAGGTCTGGAAGCTACTGCCTCGGGCGAGGTTCCCTTGGCTGGCGCAAAGGTATCAACCCATGTCGCTTTCACGCTCGAGTCCACCAGGTTCAACAGATGCATGCGGTGTCGGAAGTGGTTTTTTGGCAGATTCAGACCGTTTCGAAGGGGATCCTCTAAGACCATGGCTTTGCAGACCAGTTCTCCCATGAAGCCCCACAGAACGAAGAGCATCAGCCAAGAGAATCCTGGATCAGAACATGTGGTCAGACTTCCGGTGATGACAATGGTTTTCATACACCTCCTCGAATCTGGCACCTACCTAAGCCTCAATTTACTTTCGAGAGCCTATGCAGCAGTACCTGTGACTGGAGCAGGCGCAGTCGAATCTGCTAAGCCGGCCAGAGCTTTTGGGCAGAAGCCTGAGAGTTGAGGGTGTGATGCAATCCTAGGCCAACTAGCAACATCTATGCTTAGGACTGCTAGCAACATCTATCCTCTTCAGGGCCAAGAGCCGAGAAATCATGAGAAATTGAAACAGCAAAGCGCGAAGCAAATCTCAGTTCAGCCCCAGAGCTCAGCCAGGGGTGACGTCCTGCCACTGCCACGGCAAGCGGCTGTATTCCCAGCCTTTGCAGGCCCGCTCTGCACTTCAACACTTCTTCTTGCATAGGCCCATGGAACACCCATTGAGGCTAGGTATCATTCGAATAAATACTTGAAGCTCACCACAAAAAAGCATCTCTGCGGAGCGCTTGCAAGGAAACATGGAAGTACTGCGTGCAACCAGATGCAGCTAAATCATTCAAATGACGGTCCCCCCGAAGATTTGACAGGAGACACCACCCTGGTGCAGAGCTTGGTCTAAACATGCGCAGCTGGGCAGGATGGACAGTGGAGACTGGACCGACTTTCAGCCT